CGTGGCGGAGCACGGGCTCCGGCCGCACAGGCTCAGCGGCCATGGCTCACGGGCGCAGCCGCTCCGCGGCACTTGGGATCTTCCCGGACTGGGGCACAAACCCGTGTCCCCTGCATCGGCAGGCGGACTCTCAAGCACTGCGCCACCAGGGAAGCCCGAGGGGTTTCTTTTTGTAAAGGATCACAGGTGTTGGTTTGGTGGTCCCCTCCCCGCGGGAGGGGACTGAGCTGAGCTAGGCTGGGTGGTGCGATTTCATGCAGCAGCTGATCTGGGCACTCCTGTCCGTCCGCGCCAGGGGTTGTGTGAGGTGCTGGAGGGGTGTGTGGGGAGATGCGGCCCCCCAGGGAACGCAGCCTTGGGTGGGGGGTTTCAAAACCGAAACAGGCACCAGGCGTTGTCTAGGGTGGAGGGAGAGGGGAGGGGTGGCACTGGCGTTTCCTTCCGTCTCCTCATCCGCAAGCCCCCGGCCCCAGGCAGGCTGGAAGGGGCCATCCCTCCCTGCTGCTGCCGCCAGCCCAGGACCCACGTGCTCAGGTGGGCAGCTGGGATCTGCCGGGAGTGTGGAACAGGTGCTGCGGTCGAGCGGAGGGTCTAGTGCTCTGTGGCTGGAGCGCAGCACAGTGGTTTGCAGAGAGAAGGATGAGGCCCAGGGAAGCCCAGCAGATGCCCGGGACAGGTCAGAGGCAGGGCGTGAGCTCGCCGTCCTGGGTCTCCCTCCAAGCGGTCTGGACAGATTTTGTCCTGTGTGACGAAATGTTCCTTAAGGAACAAGGTGCAGGAGCCGGTTGCCTCCCAGCGCAGCCTTCCACCAGACGGGCCCTGGCGGCGCCTGCCTTCTTCCCAGACCAGGTGATGTGTCGCTACCTGTGCAGGGAATCACGGCACGAGAGTTGTTCCATTTCCTTAACTTTTAAAACGCTTTGGTCGTAGTTTTATATAAACTTATCCCAGCTGAGCTGTGAAGGAGAGGCATTTGTTTCCTGTTGGTTTTTGTTCACAGCTTGTCCTGAAGAGAAGACAGAGCAGTGTATTCCTGAAGGCCCAGGGCTGGCAGAGGAGGTAAGAGGAAACCACAGGTACTTAATGACTTGAGCAGAAAAATCGGGGAACTCGGTCACAGTCAGGCTTCTTTTGCTGAAGTTTTTCCTTCTGAGATGTTCAGTTCTTGAAAAAAATGGTGTTTGAGAGGGTCGAAGTTCCCTTTACACACAGCTTCCCCTTGGGGTGAGGTCATTCCCTGAGGCCTACCTGACCTTTTTAGCTGGAACCCTGTTACAGACACTCCTGCAATTCATTTTCCCACAAGTATTTCTTTGGCTATGACCCATTAGTCCTTGATATGTGGTTTTCAATTTTTCATTGAAAACACTTTTAACATTTTAGATGTATGCCCATCTGTTATTTTGAAGAATAGATTTAATGTTCCAAGTATCTAGTTTTTTGGTCATAGTTTTGTTATTTCGAATTTTTTCACATTTTGTTTGAAAAGTACTGGTGCATACAAGTATTTATGTTTCACATTTGCTTTCTTCATGGCCTAGTATTTGATTAATTATGACAAAAGGCACGTGTCCGCTTTAAAAAATTATCTCAGGAACTCCTAACTTAGGATGGTTGGGTTTGAATTCTCAGTTTTTATGTTCTTCCTTGTGAGAAGCTAATGTTTTGGCTGTTTCTCTGGGAATCAAATTAGCGCCATTCAGGGACGGCAGCCAGTGTGAGTGTGCTCAGTGCCGGGCAGGGGCTTCTCCAGCCGGCGCCTGCCTCCTCAGGATGGGGCTGTGTGTTGAGATGGTGCAGCAGCGGGGACCCTAGGAGAGGGTGACACGTCACTACCTCATCGCTAGCATCCGGAAGCTTTGAGAGGCGCTCATGCACAGCAGAAAAGGGGTGAACACGTTTAAGGTGGATGACCGTGACTGTGAACGTCTTTCAGAGGATTTGGAGCAGCGCCAGGAGTGTACGGCCTTAGTGGGGCGGACGAACCAGAAAAAGAACAGCATCTTCAGCCCAGACTGCATTGATCTCGATAGTTCATGTTTTAGGGAATCTCAGCCAGTGTGGTCCATGAAGAAGCATTACCCCAGAGGAGCATGTAATTGTTTTTATCTTATTAAGTAATTGGCTTGTGTGCTTAATAAAGTTTATAATGTTTTCTTTTCTTGACCAATCTTGGCATCCTTGTTGTAGGAGGTAAGTTTCTCTGAACAGAACCCCAAAGTGTACAGCACTTTACTTACTGGAAATAAGGTGGCCCCTTCAGTCATTTCCTGTATTGCTATTTGAGAAGGACGTTTCTTTAACTTACTTAATGCCACACCCACTTCGAGTTATGGTAGGAGTGGAAATTTTAACGTTTGAGGGTTTATATCCTCATTGTGAGGCATTTAGGAATCCTACTGCCTGTTTCTTTCAGTTTTCTGTCATATTTCTTTTGTATGTTTTGTTGGTTTGTAATTTGGACTGCACACTCATGTGCATACTCAACACACAGATATATATCGATATATACCTATTTATATTCAGTAGTTTTTTTCGTTATTTTATGTGCCTGTTACCACAGTGTGGTATCATTCTTACATTGTGCTCCATTCCAGAGGTTAATTTGTTTTCTCCACTCTGCAAACCTTGGTTGAGCTCAGATTGCGTTGCGGTGGAGTGGGAAGGAGCTCACTTATTCTTCCTTAAGCTTATGCCAATTTCTGCTGCTATTGTCGGGGATTTTTCTTAGTTTCAGGATTTACTTTTTTCCTATTCTAATGCAGTTTCTATGAAAGGGGCCACTTCCAGAAGTTTTATATAAATGTTTGTTTGGCTTAAATCTATTTTCTTTTATTAATATATAATAAATGCTGTATCCTTGTGTTTCTGCATATCAGAGCTCCCTGTAATTTAACTGTGGTCTGTTCTGATCTTTTTGATGTTTGACCCTCACTTGATAGCACACAGTTGGCTCAGGCCTCAGTGGCTTCCCAGGTCTAGTCCAGGATGAAGTTCATCAGCCTTGGTCGTGCCCAGCCTTTCTCTGCCTTTCTGAGCACGGGCATACATACACCAGTTCATATGGCATTTAAAGTTGTTTTGTTAAATGTTCGTCTCTTCTTCTAGGTAGTTATTTACTTCATCTTTGAGGCCTTAGCATCTGTCACGGTACATGGCACATAATAGGTGCATCGCGATGCTTGCTGTGTGAATACTTACAAGAATTGAATTGGGCTTTTCTTTCCCCAAACGTTAAGGGGCCAGGGAAAGGTAATGGTGTGCCAGTGACATCAGCACGATGGAGCGTGCTTATGCGCTATCATTTGACAAAACCATTTCTTCAAGTTTGGGGAGTATCTCTTTTTAAATATACATTTATGAATATTATTTATACATAATCTAATTTATGTTTATTTGATGTTAAAGTTTATTAGAGCTTAGTTTTGTCACAAATGGGTTGTAAGGTCTTTGAGGCCAAGGCCCTGTCTTAATATTGCCTCTGTTTCTTCTACTCTTGTCTCTCCAGGGATAGTAGGCCCTCTGCGCTTGCCGGTTTTGAATACATATAAATTCAATAAAAGAAAGAAACATACCTCTCAGCTGTTATGTGAATTAAACAGTCTGTGTCTGTCGCTGTGCTGGACCAGGAGCTTTTTTGGCATAGGGCATGTTGTGTTTATCTCTGTAGCCACAACATTTAGCGCAGTGCCTGGATTTTAGTAGGAATTTGGTAACCCTTGATAACTATGTTGACTAATCTTCTTGGAAGGAAAGAACTTTATAAGCTACAGATGTTAAATAATGAGATCATAAATTGTCTGGATCCATGGGCTATGTGCATCTAACAGTTACTGTTATTTGAATGCAAAATTGTTAAGCTCTGATGTCCTCAAATGCCTTTCTTCCCGCGCACTGTGCGTGTTCCTCTAACTTACTAAGCAAAGGCCACCTCTCTTTTGCTGCCCTCCCTTGCAGGCTGCCATGGCTGCCGTCGATAGCTTCTACCTCTTGTACAGGGAAATCGCCAGGTCCTGCAACTGCTACATGGAAGCCCTCGCCTTGGTTGGAGCCTGGTACACGGCCAGAAAAAGCATCACCGTCGTCTGTGACTTTTACAGCCTGATCAGGCTGCACTTCATCCCGCGCCTGGTGAGCAGAGCAGACCTGATCAAGCAGTATGGAAGATGGGCAGTCGTGAGTGGTAAGAGATGGGTTTTCAGTTCTTGCCTAATCTAAAAATGAAATCATCTTTCCTGTTCAATCTGTGTTTTAAGTTGGATGCATCATTCCTGGAGTTACTGAATTTGATGTAATGTTTTCATGGGATAAAAAAATAAAACTACTCTGTTATGATTATGTGTGCATTTCTTACCGCCCTCGTCTTGGAAGAATTTCCCTGTGATTTCTGTGCTTCTCATTCTGCCCCTCCTGTTCCCAGTCCAGCTCCAGCCCCACCATCCTAGCCTTTGCTTTTCCTTCTTGCTCTCTGTTTTGAAAGTGTCCTTACAAACTGGTACCACTTTCAGAAGCACTTGCCTTATTTTAAATTTCATTTTAATTTACCATTGTTTCCCATGGCACTCATTCAAGCCAGATGAGAGTTTGAAAACAGTTTCCCACTGTGTCTCACAGTCAACTTGGTGAATGTAAAACAGTTCTTCCTCTGCCTGTCAGAGTGTCGGGGCGAGTGTTTGACTAGCTTGTGTCATGGATTTGACCTTGTGCTTGACTGATCACTTACAGAACTCGGTTTATTTCTAGTGTGAATGCTTCTCTGATTAAACCCGGACACAGTGTATTTAAAGTCCATTTTAAAGGTCACACTGAGAAACGAGTTTGCTCACTTTTCCCCGCTTGTACCGTAGGCGCAACAGATGGGATTGGAAGGGCCTATGCAGAGGAGTTGGCCAGCCGTGGGCTCAACATTGTTCTGATCAGTCGGAACCAAGAGAAGCTGCAGACGGTCGCTAAAGACATAGCTGACGCCTACAAAGTGGAGACTGACGTCATTGTCGCGGACTTCAGCGATGGCCGCGAGATCTACGGCCTCATCCGGGAAGCCCTGAAGGACAGAGACATTGGCATCCTGGTGAACAACGTGGGCGTGTTCTACCCCTACCCTCAGTACTTCTCGCAGGTCTCGGAGGACACGCTCTGGGACATCGTCAACGTGAACATTGCCGCCGCCAGCCTGATGGTGCACATAGTGTTACCCGGGATGGTGGAGAGGAAGAAAGGGGCCATCGTCACCATCTCCTCCGGCTCCTGCTGCAAGCCAACCCCCCAGCTGGCGGCGTTTTCCGCATCTAAGGTAACGCGTCCCCAGTTGGAAAGTGAAATCATCATGCCGGACAGTGTTTATGACAGTGGTTTGGTCCAGGTGTTGAGCTCTTTGTCAGCAGCTCGTGTTTGCTTGTGCTGTATTTTTTTCCCTGAAAGGACCATTAAGTCTTTTTTTTCTCCTGAGTTTCTTCCGAGTTCCTGAGAAATTAAGTCTTTCCCTCCTGTTTCAACAGGCTTACTTAGACCACTTCAGCAGAGCCTTGCAGTATGAATATGCTTCCAAAGGAATCTTCGTACAGAGTCTAATCCCGTTCTACGTAGCTACCAACGTGTCCACCCCTGGCAGCTTTCTGCACAAGTGCCCGTGGTTGGTGCCTTCGCCACAAGTGTACGCACATCATGCTGTTTCTACGCTTGGCATTTCAAAAAGGACCACAGGATACTGGTCCCATTCCATCCAGGTAACAGTGTGCGCTCAGCTCTTGTAATTAGGTTAATGCATCCTAAACCTTTTTAAAATGACACTTGGGAATCTGATTGAAGCATGATGCTGAAAGATGAGGATTGTAAGTTCTGATTCTCAGACCTCAGAGTGCTCTGGCCGAAGGGTCCAGCTCACGTCCTTTGAGCTCCTTTCCATCTTCTCCATTCCCGTTTGTTTCCTACCTTTTTAAGTCCCGCCTGTCTCAGTCTCTGGGGAATGCATGGCATTTGTGTTTTCAGCGCTGTGCACTTTTCCGACAAGCTGGATGTGTACCCTCGCTGTGGACGTCCTCCCCTCAGCTCGTTGTTCCCAAGTCCTACTGAGCCGGGTCCCCGGGGGGGGCGCTACTCTGTGTCACATTAGTCAGGAGCAGGCCTGGACACACGGGTCAGGATCCCCGAAGGCGCCCAGAGCCTTGCAGAACCTGACCTCCCCCACCCCGGCTTTTCCGCAGTTCCTGGTGCCTGGAGACTTGGCACCCCTTTCCTGTTACTGCTGTTATCTCAGCAGGCCGATGAGTCAGCCTCCGGAGTTGATCTGTCAGTACCCAGAGGACGAAATTCTCTCCTCTTCCATTAGCTCTTTCCCGCTCTTTCCCTTCCACTGCCCAGTGTGCTGAAACCTCCCTGGGACAAGCCAGTGAGTCTCCGCCTGCCCCTCCTTAGGAAACGGGCAGAATCCATCTTGATGCTGGTCCCCCTGTAGTGGATAAGTGGTCATGAGAGGAGATTTAAAACAAACAGATTTTTAGATGCGGCTTCAATCTCCACTCAATAAATACTGAAAATAAAATGCCCTTTGGAGGGGGATCCGATTACCTAGCCTGTGTCAGGCGCCCCCATGTTTCAATGTGACCCTCCTTACAGAGTCCTCCTAAGGGACCATATATTGCCTTCTTTCATCTCCTCGGATTTTAGAGCCTTTTGCTTTAGGACAGCGGCCCCAAGGAGGAGTATTTGGGTATTTTTTCCCCTGAAATCCTGACTCTTTAAAGAGGTCCAAAGAGACCTTGGTCATTTTCACAGGTAGTTACTTACGGCTCCAGGTCAAATACGGGACCCCTGTCTCCAAGGTGGCTAAGCTGAAGCTTCTGTGGAACCTGCTGGGAACAGCTGCACCTCTGGGACCCTCACCCCACAGTTCATCGTGCTGGGACCCCCTCCTTGTTCACTGTGGTTCCTGAAATAGCAGAGTGACCTGGGTCTCTTTCTTAAGGAGAATGTGGAGTGACCTGTATTACTACACCTCTGGTCAAGGCTAGAACATCAGCACCTGCCAGGGGCCCGTCCATCTCCCCTCCTTCACACACAAGGTGTTAAACTTTCGCTCAGTCTCGGACAGATCCGTCAGTGTTGCGCAGGGCTTCTCCACCTGGGCACTAGTGGCGTAGAGGTTGGCTCGTTCCTTGTTGTGGGACCTTCCTGTGCGCTGTACGATGCTCACAGCATCCTGGACCTCTGCCCACGAGATGCCGGTAGCACCACCACCCCACTTGTGACAGCTAATACTGTTTCTGGACCTTGCCGAATGTCCCCTGGGGGGACGTGGCCCTGGAGACCCCCTGGAGCAGAGCAGCATCAGCAGATATCCTCCCTGTATCCCCGAGGCTTCCTCGTCACACCTCAAGACACACTCTCAGGGTCCTGGTGTTTTTGACTCAGTGCTTTTGTTTAACTTAGCACCACTCTGCCCCTCAGTCCCCAGTTTTCTCACACAGTACTAAGCAGGTATGCAGTTTTCTCTTTCACCTGCCTTTTATTCCTGGGCTGATTTGTAATTCTTATCCACATTCCATACTATTCATGTCACGTTAAGTAAAGATGAAACCGTATCCCTGCATGTAGGTCTGTCCCGCCTCATTAGAGAAAGGGGGCGGGTGGGCGGTGATCACATTTCTGTTCCCCAGAGAGTCTAGCATAGGGTCTTATACAAAAGTAGGTGCTCAGTGCAGTAGCACCTAAGGTTTTTTCCTTTTTTGTATTTAATGGGATTGGTGATGTTTGTTGGTTTAAATGATTGCTGATCTGTGCATTCTGTTGTCGATGACTTTGGGGTCTAACCTTACAGTCTTTTTCTCTTTCATTTTTAGTTTCTTTTTGCACAGTATATGCCTGAATGGCTCTGGGTGTGGGGAGCAAATATTCTCAATCGTTCCCTACGTAAGGAGGCCTTATCCTGCAAAGCGTGAAGCTGGCTGCTGGTTGGGAAGTGTCGCCACCTCGGGGAACCTGCGGTATATTCTACATGTGGAAGAACACGTGTAATTTATCTCCTGCGTTTTCTTTCATTGCCGATCATTTAGCATACTGTTGACTCATCATGTGCAAAATAAACATAACACTTTTAAGAATGCTGTGGAAAAGCCTCAAGGGCCACTTGGAAGGCACAGAGTAAATAACGACCACCACACAAGAACCATGAGGAAACCTAAATTTTGATGCTTTTTTTTTTTAAGCTGTCCAAAAGTTGTGTGATTTATGTTGTTCTAAGAGGTACTAGCAGTCTGATATTTAACTATGATATGACTTGTCAGCTCTTACAGTTTCACGTGTTGTTTCTTAAGGGAAATTATTTCAGTAGATGAATTATAGTATTGGTTTTCAAATGTTCATCAGGAAAAACTATTTAACAGTGTTATTTTCTAGGTAAGATTTGCTGGTATAATGCGTGGAAATCTGTATTATATTGTGTAACTCTAGTTGTTCGGCTCTGTGTGTGTGAAGTGCTGCTCTTCAGCTGATACTTTGTTAGAGAACCATGTATGTGTGTATGTTGTGTGCACCTAGGCAACTTTATTTATGGGTAAGTTACTTTAAGAAAGATTTCTCGTCAAGGTGGCTTAATGTGGAATCTTAAGGGTATTAAAATTCTAGATTTTTCCTTTTCATACTAAACAAAGGCTACCCAATTTTGTGCTATAGATTTGCCAAGTATAATGTTACTTACGACATTGTTTTTTTTAATCTACTAAGGAATTAATTCATTCCTAGATTTGGACATGTAATACTTGACCCTCAGTCATCTTCTGATTTATAATTACTGTGGATGAGTATTGATTTCTCAGCCTATGACCCATTTTATAACAAATTTAGCCCTTTAGAGCTTGTTTTACCTTGTTGTCAAACACTTTTCTATGTAATATTAGTCCATTCCAGTGGCATTATTGGTGTAAACATCAAAGATTTATAGAATAGTAGTTAAAATATGGACAGATTATGTGTGTGTGGTATGACATATTGTATCTGTTGAAATAAGTTAGAAGCTCATTCTTGGCTCGTGTAATGGATTTATGCATTACAGTGAATACTTCTATTGGTATGAAGATAATTATGCACAACCCACCACAATATGGGTTTGCACTGAAACCTACTGTGAAGTCTTTTTGGTTCAGGTCCTGTAAAGCCAGACATTTTTGAGAACCACATACGGAGTGCTTTGACAGTTGTAAATCACTACACGAATATGACCGTATGTGCAAATTTGAAATTCACAGTTTAATATTGCAACATTGATGCAGAAACCGGTAAATTGAAATCAGGACTTTTATGAAATTGCTTTCTCCTGAGATAATATTCCATTACGAGTAGGCCTAAAGCATGCTTTTATGTTATGCCCACAATTTTGCCAGTGACATTGCCTTAGTATTTCCAGATCTGACTTGGGCTCAAGATCAGAAGTTAAGTTCAGAGCTCTTCAACTTACAGATCAGGCCTTCATCACATAAGAGGAGGAACTTCAGCTGTGAAAATTTACACACTAGTGATACTACGTAGAACTGACCTTTCTACGATACTAGTACGTAGAACTGACTGTTTTGCTTCCAAGTTGGCTTGGAAACCTTTATTTTGTCATATTTGGCATTTCCCCACCCGACCATTTATGGTCATTAAGACTAGTGAAAATTTGACTTCATGCCACAGTGACTTGAACTTAAATTGACATATAAGAAGCAGCAGCAACTTGCTGTAAAAATACCATATTTATATCTAAGGTGTTATGTGGTACAGCAGTGTCTTATATTTATAGATTAGGTGTTGGATCATTGTTATATGATGAGACTAAGTAAACCATGTCAGTGATGTTTTAAAATTCTCTCCTTGGCAGGACATATGTAAATATGCTGATTGGTGCAAAGTTCATGAAAGATCAAAACCAAGACTCTTCCTTAGGTTTTACCTTTCCCAGAGCTCATTTGAGAGTCATAATCGGACCACTGTAGATGGGGTTTCTTATTAAGAATGTGGGAAATAAGAACCTTTGAAACAGTCTGTGGCCTGAAAACAACAATAAAAGCAGTTGCTTCTGCTTCCTTTGGCAGAGGTTTTGCTCCATATGTTCATAAATTGGTTGTTTGGAAAGAGAGATACATTTTTTCCCCAGTAGGAACAATTATTTAAAAGTTACAAAAAATTGATCTCTGAACACCTGTGATAGTGACTCATTAAAAGCTGGTAACTCGGTAAGAAAATTGTGCGTAACCACGTGTCTCACAAATCTTGTGAAACTACAGAGTTGATTTCTTGCTCTCATTCTCCTGATAGGTTGAATAAGATGAAGGCTGATTTTGATCACTGACATTGGCGATGTGGAGGTCACTGGTGCTTTTGTCATGATGCATTTTCATCGAGTGGTGGGGATGAAAAGTAGTGGGTTCAAGAAAGAGTGGGAAGAAAAAGGGAGTGAGTAGAGACAGCTTTGGAGGAGTCTGATTTGTTTTAACCTCAGTTACTTAAAATCTTGGCACATTTGGGAACCAGAGGGTTAAGTGGTGCCCTCAGTGTTGACGTTGTTTGCCCTCCGAAACTAGTCTCTCTGTGTCTCTGTCTCAGTATTGGCTCAGGCTGTTACTCTTTAAAATAGTACTCAGTGTTAATAAAGATTTACCTTCCCATGGAATTGTGAATGCTTTATTATATACGTGAAGGGTTAGTTTAGGAAGTTATTAGAACCTGGAGTGGTGGAAAACCGGTAGAGCAGGATTCTGGGGCTCTCAGCTTCCTTGGTCAATTTTCAGGCCACCTCCTGTCATGCCCCAGGCCCCCTGCAGTTTCTAGGATTGTCAGGAGCTGGCAGCTGTCTCTCTTCCCCCGCTTCCTACTTCACTATCACGTGATAAGGATGTTTGCAATTCATCAGCCTACCTCTGTTCCTAACTGTTGGGCTTTGTATTCAATGGCATAGTGACCTAAAGGGCTGTTAAAAGAATCCTGAGTAGAACAACACAGTTAAGTTTAAGATCAGGTACCTTGCGTGGTGGCAGCAGGGAGTGCTTAATTTTGAGGATTTGCAAGTGCAAGGGTCAAGAATTCTCTGAAAGTTCCCAACATTGATGCGACCTGGGGCGGGGCGGGGCGGGGCGGGGGTGGGGGGAGAAATTAATCAGGTGTGGGTTGATCTAGTGTAACCACCACATTTATTGAATGTGTCAAGCTCTGTATGTGTATGTTTCATTTAACCCTCATCCTATTAGGTGGGTACTCATATCTGTTTTTTGGATGAGGAAGGTGAGGTACAAAAGAGCTGAGGTACAACTTGCCTAAGATCACAAAGCCAGTAGGGGATTCTGTATTTAGCCACTATATCAAATCAGTTTGGTTAAATATTCTTAAAGGGAAGATGCAGTGCTGTGGTTTCTAATATTGGGGCCATGCGGTATCTTCATGGTGCCGTGGAAAGTTCAAACAAGATGCAAGCAGTTTTGTCTCACTATATAGCACATCATTTGTCATCAGCATTACGTAAAACAGGGTTTCAGTCCCCCAGTTGTGTCCAATGTCAAGTGTGGACCGGCTCAACATTTAGACACAAAACAGCCCGTGATCTCAATCACCCAGACATTTTGGGGGGAGCGCACTTCTAGAGTTCAACACATTAATCCTTGTTTCTTCAAAAGGGGTAGCCGCTTGGCGTCCGTGCTCCAGGCGAGGCCGCGAGGCGTTAGGAGTGGAGCGGACCGGACTTGGGGCAGGGGTCTCGCCGGTCAGGGTGGGAGTCAGGGGAGGACTCGCATCCTCACGCCCTGAGCAAGCACTTCACCCGCCCGCGTCCCAGGTGCCGCGCGGGTAAAACGGGTAGCGGTTTGCAGGGGGCGCGCGCTGAACCCGGCTCTTGCTCTGGACACCTAAAGGCCCCAGGAGAAGAGCGCTGGAGTAGAAGCTTTCAGGGCACGTTTCGCCATGGCTGTCCTCTGCAGGACCGAGCCCGGCCCGGGCCAGTGCAGGTTCCATGAGCTCCTGCCCTAAATCCCTACGCATCCCTCGCCGGCCCATTCCAACAGTCCTTTACCCGGACTCCGACCCGGTCCCGCCCCCAGGGCCGCAAACTTCGCGAGACCTCCGTCTGTCCTCCCGGCCCGGCCCCGCGGCCCCCGGCGTCCAGAGCGCGCACGCAGGGCACGCACGGCCGCCGGGACCGGCGCTCCAGGCCGTCGGTCTCCCCGCCCGGATCGCGCAGTATCGCGAGCGTTGGGAGTAAACACCCCGCATGGAGATCCTAGGCGTGTTCGCCGCGGAGGCGCCGTTATCCCGGGCCGGGCGGACCCGAGCCTGAGGCCGCCGCAGGTACGTCAGGCGGCCCGCTCCCCGGAGCCGCCGCCTCTCCGGACCCGCGCGGCCGCCCGCGCTCTCCGGCGTGCCCGGCGGCGTGCTCGAGGCCCCGAGGGCGGGGGTCTGCGCTGGCGGGGGCGGCGGGCGGCGGCGGGCGGCGGCGGGGCCTCGTTGCGGCCCGGGAACCGCTG